GTATATATATATATATATATATATATATATATAAGACGGCAAATTTCACGTTAGTCTTCTTCCTAGTAAGTAAATAGGCTTTATAGAAACAGAAACCGCGAACAAATACCTTCAGGAAAGATATATTGGGATTGTTTTCCACGCACAACAAACTTTGTGTGTGCTCAAAAAAAAGCAGAAATATTAATCAAAAAGTATAGCGTTGAAGTTTGTAGTAAAATGCTACTTGAATTGAAGCAATGATGGAAAGTGAAATATGTTAAAAGGGTTGAAAAAATTGTTTTCGGAGTGTCACTTAAATGAGAAAAAGACTAAGATCTACTATGTGATAGCGTCAAATAATATTACAAAAACGCTAACTATTGTAATGCTAACAAGGAAAGATAGACTATTCAAGTAAAGCAAAAATATGCTAATGTAATACTTGAAAAGTATGACAAAAATATTTAAATCTAATATATCTATTAAACTAAACTCCTCTTCATAAATATATATATATATATATATATATATTAATAGTTATTCTATTTTTTTATGAAACACTTTGATAATAAAAATTATAATGTGAGTGCTTAAATGTGTAGTTTGCTGAAGAATTATTATTTGCCCTTGCCCCTGGGATATTTTATTACAAAAAAAAGAATGGTCTCTAATGTGTAGCTCCCTCTAATAAATCGATAAAGCAATAATAATAAAAATTTAAAAAAGCAATCAATGTAAAAACCAATCTGATATCCTTCTTAAAGAAAATACAAATATTTTTCTCCAAACCTTTATGGTGGTTGTGAAATGTTAAAAATAAAAATATTCAAAAAAGGAGAAGATAAGAAAAAATGACATAAATCAACCACACACTTCCTAAAATAGCATATTCAAGAGATAAAAAAAAACATCTAAATTGACAGTTAACGGTTCATAAATAGCGATAAAAATATGGATATAGATGTCTGAGAGGAAATGTAAGTAATAAAAACAAGTATATTAGATTTTCATTATATGAAATCGACAAAAACGTATCATAAATTCTATTTTATAAAAAAGGATATCATAAAAAATGAAACAGCCCCAGTGCTATCTATTCTATTGGCTGATAAAACAACCTCTATACAAGTCTTCACCGTAAGGTTTTTCATTTTGTGTAATCATTTATTCTGCTTCTGAGTAGATTCATCCTTCCTGTCCTTTTGACAACCCACCACCACAGACTCAAATCTGAAACAGCGCTCATTAAGCTCACATCCTTTCACATTTTTTGTGAAATTCTAATTCATTTTCTATCAGTCTTGGAAGAAATATGTCACTACAAAGGAAAACGAAAAAAAGATTTTCAAATTAAAAATCCTCTCGATTCGTACGCACGCAATTTAGCGTTAAGTTGCCCAATTGTTGAGTCCTTTCGCCCGATTAGTGTGTATGCATCCTGAGCACGACTATTCGTATCAGAAACCTCCTCCTGTAGCCTGTTAATTTCATCCTCATGTGAATGAAGACGCGTCGTAAGAAGTCTCACAGTGCTCTGTAGTTCCTGGTTGAGTTGATCTCGATACTTGGAATCTTCTTGAAGCCTCACACGGGCGGCCTCAGACTGCCCCAGAGTGGCCTCTAGGTCCAGATAGCGAGCCTCTGCGGTGCGATTAAAGTTATTGAGTTCACGACGATATTCCGTGCACATCGCCTGCGACTTTGCTAAATCGGCGCGCAGGCCATTAAGCAATTCATCCATGCCCTGCATCGCCTCTTCGTGGGCAGTCTTGAGGTCCCCCATCTCCGCTTGCATGGAGCGTTCACGCAGGCCAAACTCACGCCTGAGAGTGGCGAGTTCCTCACGCACCTCGCCAAGTGTCGAGTCTTTTGCCATCACCAAGTCGCGAGCGCGGCTGGACTCCATATGCGCCTGCTCCACCACCAGGTGAAAACCCACCAGTTCAGCCTTATGGCGCTCCTCGAGCTCATTGAACTTGCCCTCGTACACGGCGCCCTGCCGCCGGCATTCGCCGCGGCTTTCCTCGAGATGACTTAGGCCGATCTGCACAGCCTTTTCGAGATCATCGCTTCGCCGCTTCAACTTCTGAAGTGCTTCAGTCAACTTTTGGTTGGTATCCACCAGCTCCACATTCAGTTCCTGCTCCCTGTTGTACTTGTGACGTAGATCCTCCAGAAGTGTTTGGGCCTCTCGAAGTTGCATATTGGTGCTTTCCAACGAGGCTCGATCGATCGCCATTTCCTCAGCCACTGCCTTTAGCCTAGCATCGTCCTCGTTACGATTTTTTTCCAGGCATAGACGCTCCTTCTCCATGGTTTTGATGTTAATTTGTAGCTGATCCAGAGTTTTTTTCCATTCATTCTCACGAAAGGTGTAGTCTTGAGTCAGACGAGCGATTTCGGCCTCCATAAGCTCTATGGTTTTCTTTTTCTCTTCTTTGAAGCGCTCCAAAGCGGTTGATTTTGCCGTCAGTTCATCACGGAGACACTGTTGCTCTAATGCCTCCTGTTGGGCCTTTTGCTGCGCACAAGTAAGATCTGAAGTCAGATTGTGCAGCTTTAGCTCTATATTTTCTATTGCACGCTGGTGTGCCTGCTCAAGGGTGCGCTCTTTAGTCCGTTGATCCACCTGAAATGCCTCCAGTCCGCATGAGGCTTCGTGAGCCGTTTTTTGGAGGCTTTCCGCGCGTAGACGCATGAGCTCAACATTACTTTCGGCGTCCTTGCGAGCCCTCTGCTCCTCTGCGAGTTCTTTCCTTAAGGCATCCTCGACTGCCTTCTGCTGTGAAATCTTGCTGCGGTGCTGAGTCTGAAGCTGCTCGCGTTGCATATAAGCGTCCACTGCGGTTTCTTCTTTCTCACGACGCACCTGTTCGAGAGTCTGACGAAGCGATTCGGATGCCTTTTGTTCACTTTGTACGGTCTTTTCAAGATCAATACGATACTCGCTCGCCTGTTTGCCATATGCCTCTTTAGCAGACTCCAGTTCCTGGCACATTGCTTCAAGTTCTCTACGATGCGCCTGTCTGAGGCTTTCTAGAGTATGGTTCCTGCCCTTTTCCTCTGCTGCTACACTTTCCTGCGCACGCTGCAATTGATCAAGCAACTCCTGCTGCTTACTCTGCCATTTAGCACTTTCTCGCAACTGCTCCTCTCGAATACGATCGATCTCATTTTGAAGAGACTCCTTTTCATTTATAAGGAGATTCTGAACCTCTCTTAGTCGTTTAGTTCCCTCGACACGCTCACGATCTAGCTGTGTTTTATATTCTTCAAACTGACCCTCCAGCACATCGCGTGCACTCATGGTTACCTCGTGTTCCATTACAAGTTTATTATACTGCTCTTTAATTTGATCCATCGCTGCCCGCAGAAATGTGATCTCCCTCCCTTGCTCCTTGATAAGCTCCTCTGTCTGTACACGGTAATCAGCCATGATAGAACCCTTCTCAGCACGCTCCTTCTCTAGCAAAGTAAGCATATCCTTCCGTCTCTGGACGGCCTTTTCGTCAGCCTTAGACTTCTCAGCCATGGCAGTCTCCGAGACCATTTTAAGAACTCGTATCTGCTCGCGCAGCTGCTTTATTTGCGCATCATGCTCGCTTCGCATTTCGTCTATCTGTTCGAGGTGATGGATGCGAAGATCCTGTACACTGGCGCGTTCACGATCCAACGCCGTCCGAAGACCCTCCAAGAGCATCCCGCGCTTAACTGCGTCCTCGCGAACGTCGGCCAGCTCTCTCTCCGCATTGATGAGCATTGTGCGCATTTGCATAGTGCAGGTCGAATCATACCCCGGGATCCTGCTGCCGAGGCTCCCGCACCTGGCGAAGGAGGCGATCCCCTCCTTAGATGATTCCACGGAGGTGAAGTCGCCCGCGTCGGGATACCGCGGGAGGTCGTTTAGAAAGGACGGGCGCGACGACGCCTTCCGCCCATTGGGGTCCTCGGCAGCACTCAAAGCGAAACCCCCGGGCCGTGCCCCGCCCTGCCGGCCGCCGAGCCGCGGGGCTGTCACAGAATGGGTCGCCCGGCCCAGCCGTGTGGTGGCCTTCAGCAGGCCTGTGGGGCCCTCCTTGAAAGCCCGCAAGGGGCTGAGGGAGGCCTCATTGGAGGGATTCAGAAACCCCATGGGGGCTTCTTTAGGGGGATTCAAAGGGCTAATAGAGCCCACTCGTGTTGCACTTGCTTCGTCAGAAAAAGCGTTGGGATTCGGCGGCGGCATCCCCCTGTCGTTCTCCGGGAAGGTCATGGGGTCGGGCGAGGCCTCGTCGTCTTCGGAGGCCTCCAGGGCCTCCCGCGAGGGGGTCTCGGGTTGGGAGGCGGTGGTTGGGAGACATCCGCTGGAGGGCAAACCCGCCTCACCAGGGCTGGAAAGCCCCGAGGTCCCGGTGGTCCACGTCGTTTTATCCCGCGTCCAGGACCGCAACGGGGTCGAGAATGACGTCCCCGGACCCTCCGCCGTAATCCCAGGTGATAAATCGGAAGAAAGACGGGTGGCCAGCGATTGGCTTGCTTTCTCGCCCTGGATGAAGGTTGGGATAATTTTGTCGCAATATGAAAAGGAAATTCGCTTCTCGGACTGCTGTCGACCTTTGGCAGTCACCATCTCAGAAGGAATGGCTTGGGCCGATGACAATGGTTGAGTCTGAACAGGATTTTGCCCATTGATAGGCATTGATCTCAATTTTTATATCTTATAAATGTTAATAGAGAAGAATGCTATTATATTTTTGGACAATGGTGGCAAAGGTATTAAAAAAAGTACCAAATACAATCAAATATGCAATGAAACGTGGTCAACAAAAACACAAAACATTAAAAATAAGAATATAAAATTGAGGCATTTCCATAAAATATATTCCTCATATAACAAGCAAAAGAAAGAAGGAAATGGAAAAATAAATATGGCACACACACCACGTCAGTAGAGATAAAGGGATGGAATTTTTTTAAGGATTCTCAGTGATCCTTTACTTCAATTAGAAGTTGCAAGTAATTTTGAAAAGGTGAACAAGATAATGATTCTAGTGTAGTAGCTTCATAAATATATATGGGCGTATGGATATGTGAAAATTTTGATATAAATCATAAGTACTCAAAAAAAATTAAACTTAGATGTCTACTCGATACATAATTCGGAAATGGAATAGATAGAACCTTGAACTGAGATTCTTCAAGAGACTCAAGCATTGCACGATGTCTTCTACACTCCAAAAGATCCAACTCTCACTTGATTTCATAAAAATGACTGCCGTAAATGGTCAACTCCATGCGGTACACCTAAGTTGTATATTACGGTCACTTCATATATGGGAGAAATGAAATCAATATTGCACGTAGTAGTTTGTATGTCGCATGATAACTGCGAAGGTAACTTAAACAAATCAGTGCTAAAATATTCCGATGATCCAGCGCACGATGCTTTCCACATCCCATTCATTTACTAAAAATAAAATAGGAAGCACTGATAAGCAGTCACCTTCAGAAAACTTACTAATAACGACGATCGAGAGTGCAAATAACCAACGTCATAAATATCAGTTATCCGCACTATATTTAATCAAAATATCATTCGCAGTAGGGGTACGTTCAATCGAAGGGATACGTGAAAAATCCAATAAATAATGAATCATTCTATGCACTGACACAACTACAAAAACCTATCTTCAAAAACTATCCCTTTCATTTCTCATCTTCAAGACTGCATAAAAGTATAAAGAGGATGTGTATAAAAATTCGGCATGTGTGCGGCTATAACACACTTCCTAATCTTTCTGAGATAATGGTCCTCCTCTCCCATGGAAAAAACAAACACAGCGATCGAAATCCATACTAGACATTCCTGTTGTCGATATGGCATTGAATAACTCTCGTAAGATATCAAATTAGGAAACCCCAAACAATAATAAAAAGACTCCATTGGTTAAGAATTAAAGTGATCCACCGATACAGTCCTGCTGAAGCTTCACAGACTGTAGATATTTTTTATCGTATTAATCACACAATAGTAAATACAGTGGTCTCGCAGATGTCCAATAATATCAAAAGCTAGCTCCCTGTTATGATGAGCATGAATGTGAAATATGAACCGATGATGGTTGAATGTAGTTTTGAGGAGGGGTGAACATAAAGCTCCACGATACCGTCCGCACGAAAAGACAAACCAATATACCTTTTATTCTGAAGCCTCGGAATTTTTTTACGCTTTCTGAAGACATAAATTAATCCGCTCCAATTTCACAGTGGAAACCTGTTAGGAAAAAATCAATGGAGACTAATCCCTTCTGAAGAATCTTCCTTGGTAAGTGTGAACAAAGCCACGTGAACTTTCTTCAATCAAGTAATAGCGAATTTGAATCGGATGTTGGACTAGCAAATTGGTCTGACAGATTCTAAACACACGCACAGCAAAGCAGACGTTAATCCATAGACACGATATGCCCTCAATATATAATCGTAAAAAGGCAGCGTCAACTGGAATAGTTTCGCATTCGTTCATTAAAAAAACATACAAGGTCTACCCCCACGCGATTAAACGGCCTCCACCTAACTCAACGCCAATCCTGCAGTCAACACACCATCACATTAACCCAATAGATCACCAAATGTACAAAAAGAACAGAAGAAAGCCACCACCCACAGTCTATACCCCTTCACATAATCTGAAAAAAAAACTCCTTTCAGGTACCTTTTATCGCATTAAATCTACTAGAACTTGTGATCATAGACCATTAGGATGTATAAAGCCTTGAAATATTTCCGGCGCATCGGCAAATTGCGAATTCGGCCTGACGCTCCCCTCAAAAACTACACCTGAACTTCCTTGCCTAAACCGCGAGCATTGAGGCCGTCGCGAAACACTTGATGTAAAAAAAAAAGATCATCAGAAGGGATGCAGTGAAGTAAACTAGAAATAAATTCCTGAGAAAAATTCTCTACAAAACTGCCATTTCGGAATATGATAATAACAAACCCTTGCACCCGAGTACTTTATTCTGTCAATTCATACTAGAGTTATTGTACGCCTTCCTCATGTAGTTCGATGGATAGTGAAAAAAATAGTCGTTATATAGCAAACTTCCAAAAATCTACACACAAAAATCAAACGCTGTAGTTAAAAGGTCCTCTCTCTAAACAGGGTGTAAGAAGCTAAATAATACCATTCGGAGTATGGAGATTTTTTTATTGTGAATTGATTGATTGGATTGCGGTTAGAAACGATTCAATGGGCATCAAACACGCATCACGCTTTTTACTAGAATTAGAAAAATAAGATGAGCCTATATTTTTCCTCCGTCTTAAGCTTATCAAGGATGAAAATTATATATTGAGCGGTAAACACACATTTCTGGCGGATTCCTAAATCTCATTCGAATCCCTAAATGAAGAGAATGCATGTTATAAAACCCTGCTGAGCATTTGTGATTGCACTTGCAAAACCTAAACTGAGGTGCGTTAAATCATAAAAATATGTCCTCCGATAGATTCCATATTAATATTCATTTCCACACTAGTTTCCTGATATCCCCAATAACCGCTTAGCTTTTTAAACTATATAGTACGTCGTGCAATGGTGGAAGTAGTAAACGTTCTTTTTTTATCGCTATCAAGTACCTCAAGCTATGAATGCGACTTTCAGGATTCTAAAAGGAAATCCAGCCTTGGAAATGATTCGCGTTTGGGGTATGGGAAATCTTCAAGGAATCAAAAAATTCCACCCAAAATGGTTGGTTCAGAAGCCCTTCCAACCATCACAAGGATGCACTTTCACCCACAGCAATCATCAAACCCAACAAGACCGTCTTCACATGCGTTAATATCATCCTCGTTATTACACAAAAAGTAGAAGTCGAGCGTAGAATAATGACAGGAAGAATATAAAAGATCAAATGTGTTAAAGTAATTGGCCACAGAAACCTCTTCCAGTATTTAGACCGGCACCTACAAAAGTTTGATCGAAGTTTGGAAGAACCTCCAATTCAAACTCTCACTTGACGGGTGCGAATTATAAATATATAAGGCACTCCGCGGCCCCATGGTGTTCTTTATAGTTGACGTAAAAGACTAATAATTCAGAAAAACTGAAATTTTCAGATTTCACGGAATCCGTCGAGATCCTTAAAAGCAGTATACCGAACCCAAGGCAAGTGTAATAAACCATTCAGACGGACATTACGATTATGAAAAGAATTGTGCATTTAGAATAATGACCTACAAAATCGAATTTTAAATAATAAAACATATGCGACCAAAGAGCAAAGTTTTCACAAGAGCTATATAAATTAATCGACAGGGACCCATTGCTGAGTTGTGAAAAAAAAATAGCCTCAGAAGGTGAACGTAATGCTAAAATACTTTTGAGCTATACAAAATAACGATAAGACATGTTAGGCTTCGAACACGGTACTTACAGCTTCCGCCGTTTTCGCGAACTCTTTGAGGCTTTTAAACCACCTTGAGTGATTTCCCCTAAAAAATAAATTTGGATACTTTTTTTCTAGTTGTCTACCCTGTATTTCAATCACTTCCCAAAGTTGAGTGATATTTTTTAACAATTCGGTCTTTTCATCATGACAGGGGGAAGTTGTGGTCATGGGAATCCCCTCCCCATCGACCTTTCCAACCAGCTGATTATACAAATCGAACTCCACCTCGCCCTTGCAGGTGATAAGACGAGAAAGCGCCTCAAAAGAATATTTAGTTGCGGTCCAAAAAGATGTCGGCCGATCCTCCCGATTAGTCCCCTCCAAATTCTTTAGTTCTTCTTCGGCCTCACGAAAGGCCGGGCCTTTTTCCTCCCGTACGGACGCACTCAACACCCGCGTGCGGTGGGTGATATCTTTCGAATGAATATCTCTCTCGATCCCGCGGCGTAGGGCGGAAATTCTCGCGCGAACTCCCCGGTAGGCCTCGAAGTCGGCATCCAACAAAGACGATTCGCCGCGCGAGTTCGCCAACTCTCGCGAAACTTTCCCCGACGAGGACGAATCGAAAGCCTCGGACGATGGCAATAAACGACATGCTATAGTATCGCCGCCCCCTTTTTCTTCACCCTGAGAAGGTTGTAAAACGCACCGAAAAGAATGGACAACCGCCTTCGCCTCGGCCAATTCTTTTTGAAATAAATGGCGAAAATACACCGCCGAGGTGTAATCGTCTTCATTGAGGGCAAAACTTAAATAAAACTGCAAAGAAGACCGTAAAAAGTAAAAATGGCTCAACGAAGGGCGGATAAAAATTCGAATGGGGTCATCTGAGGCGGAATCGTGGGATTCTGGGGGATGGGCATAAAGATCGTAGGGGAGGATTGTGGGATGGGAGGGAATATTAAAAGGTTTTTGCTGTGAAATCCGCGATAATCGACGAATCTCGAGGGTAATCTCGTCAATTAAATCGCGAACGGAATGAAAATAGGAGGATTGGAGTAAACGGCGCTGAATGCGAGGATCGTATTGGGTGCAAGCAGGTTGGAAAAAGTACCCCGCCTGCTCAACAAGAAGGGCGTAAATTTGGTAGGTGTCGTGAATTTCAAAACACCGAACGGTAATCGTCCGCGTGCGATGCGTTGGAAGGGGGCCATTCAAATTAGCCAGGAGATTTCCATCGGAAGGCTCCGGGGCAGGCGATGGACTATCCTCGATGTTAAACTTTCCCGGCATGGGGACGTCGCCAAGGCCGTGAAGGATCTCGTGCATGCTGTTTAGCCAACCAACTACAACCCCGCACACCTGAATGAACCTCGCATAGCTGTTTTTAACCCTCTCGGACGGGAGTTGGGAGGCATTCAAAGAAAGTAAAAACAAATCGCTCAAACTTCGATGGGCCGCTGAATCGACCGCGGGGCCGTCCGTTCGGGAGAAGTTGGAAGTTGGATAGGGGTGACCTTCATGAGGGCTCCCTTCTAATCGCCTTGCGTCCTCGACAGGCTCGTGGAGGGGCGGCGTTTTGAGGGTGGATGGGGTGTGGGAAAACCCACTTCGGGGCCATTGTTGAAGGATTGACATATTGGTGGTCCAAATAAACGCATTCTCGGAGTTGACTCGCCTCAGGGTATCTCTCGAGGCTACAACTTCAGTCCTCATGCTTTCGAATATCGCCTTATATGGATTTAAAAAGACAGATGGGCTTTGCCGAGAAAAGGCATCGCCAAGTGAAAATGATGAAAAGGACTCAACATTCCCAACGTCAAACGTATCGTGAATTTCCCGTGGTCCAAGAGGTCTGCCTGGTGTAAAAAATTCGCTGAGTTTTCTCAGATTCGAAAGGACAGAATTGCACGCGCATTCAACATCGATAATGTGATCAGATTTGAAAAAATTATCACTAATATTTCTGCTTTCGGCCCCTTTATTATCGTCGCATATAGAATGAAACTTAAAGATGTAAGCAATTAAATTATCTTTATCGTTTTCAGTTGGAAAGACCACTGTCATATGAAACTAAATTAATATAGTGCAAAGCCTTTACTCTATAAGTGTTTTCTGACTATTACTTTACCGCACTGGAGTATTTTCCAGTTAATTTGAGAAGATAAACAATTAATTGAGTGATTTGAGATATAATAAGATAGGTACATCACCCAAGTGATAAAAATATGAAGAAAGACATCAATGACAAAAGTTCAATAATTTCAAGATCAAGAATCACTTAATTTCTAATAAAATGCATCAGTATTTAATTGTCAACCTTCATTACTATCAATCTCCTTACCTAACAGCACCAAAATGAAAAACTTTAAAGCGCTACATCAAGGACTTTAAAATACACTAGGTAAAGCATCCACCATGCAGCTCCCAATAGTTTCGATTTCTTTCCTTAGCTTCAACTCATTATTCTTTGAATGGTAAGAGAAGCCTCAGTTTCATGAAGTAGAAGAGGTAGATTGATATGTATTGTTTTAAAATAATTCTGATATGAATTGATAATAGAAGTAGTGGTAAGAATAAGCTTACCCATAAGTTTCACATTTCATACACTTTCAATTATGAATGTGTATATTTTGTGTCAAACAAAAAAATAACTCAAAGAGTTGGAGTAATTGCCAGAAACATCTAGTTTTGCTAGACATGCTTGAAATGCTTCCAAGTGTTTATAAAAAGGAAACTTCAAAAGTTACTTTAATTATATATGCGATAAAACGAAAGATAGTTAAAAAAGATTTTATCAATTCAACCTCTCACACTCAAATTCATTCGATATAGTATAATACATACGTCTTTAAAATAAATAGATTACTCAGTAAATAATAATAGGGAGAAGGCCATATTTCATCAAATTGCTAATTACCAACGTAATCAATATTAAGCAATCAGCTTTTCCTTTCTTAGAACAGTTGATTTTTTTAGATCTAAGAAATATTTTAAAATCAGTAACACTTTGATTTTAACCCATCTAAAAGTAAAAACAAGGCTATTCCTTTAATATTAAAGAGCAGATAAAGAATTGCTACAATAATTAGTCCACTTTACTTTTCGATAGCATCTGAATGGTAAGTTTCTTGAGTAATGTACAAACTAATTTTAAACAAATCAAACTCAGATTTCATGCCCGATAAGCATGAATATAAATGTAAAAAATCGCATACAGGTAATAGGAAAATTACATATTTGATTATGAATCCCAATTTATCAAACAAAAAAATGTGAATCCGCATGGCTCAACATCAATTGAACTTGAGCAGCCAGGCTGAATTTATTGAGGGCATACTGCACACAATGAGGACCCTTAGTTTTCTTCCAGTTCTCCTTCAAAGCCTGCAGGACAGAAGCATAAACTCTCTCACCCACTTCCGCATTCGTTCCCTCATCTACAAGGGTCCCAACCTTATCATTTACAAATTCAAGGGGACCTCCCGATTTCGCCCCTATCACCGGTGTCCCACAACCCATGGATTCGATAAAAACAAGACCAAAGGGTTCGTCCTTGCTTGGAAAAACCGCAATATCGGCAACCGTAAACAAATTGGCGAGTTCAGGTTGTCCCTGGGGTCCTAAAAAGAACGTATCCTTCAGCCTGAGGTCATGATAGGCCATGTCAACATATTTCTGACACGTCTCTTTTGAACCACCACCGCACAATACCGTTAAGATACTCTTTCCCTCCTGCTCCCACTTGCTCGCCGCCAACAGAACCACGTCCAGACGCTTCCAATCAGCAAAACGTCCACAAAAAACCACCAAATGGCTATATGAATCAATATCGGGAATTATTTTACCAGGTTCAACATTTTGAACTTCGCTAGGAAGTCGAGTCTTGTCGAACCCATCATACAAAACCTGAGGCATCTTTCCAATTGCGTTTTTCCTGGTCATCCCCTCAATCGGACGGAAGATGTGCTGACCGTATCCACAGGGAGCAACGGAAATACGATCTTCCGGAAAGGATGGGAAATATTTAACAAAGGTCTCTTTTTGTGGAAGGGAAACCACAAAAATGCCACACACTTTATCAGTATTTTCGAAGATTTTCCTATCATTACGAATCCATGTATAATACTTCATTGGAAAGTCAGGGAGACCATTTAACTCGTTTTCATACATCTTGAGGGCAGTACCATGCACAAAGACTATCAGAGGAACCTTTGGTTTACCACATGCCATACGACGCTCATTAATTTCGGACATAATCACAGGATTCATGAAAGAATGATGAGCCAAAAATAAATTAAAAAAATGGTTATGCTTTTTTTCAGCATATTCGATATAATCCCAACACTGCTCCCGGAGAGTGTCACAATAAGATTTTACTTCCTCATCACTCATCGAATGCCAACGTTTGCTACTCTGTGGTCCTACACTTTCACAAATTGGAATAGGATGTGGAATCTCATAGACCCTATAATCATCCCTGTCACTAGGCGTTTTTTGAATGTTAGATGGCCATATCGAATAACAAAGTGTATCTGGTAAGGAATTCATTGCGATGTGATGCCCTTGATGCAAAATTCCAGATCCAGGAGCAAATTGATCGGGTGATTGCCAATTGTTGGTCCCAAGAGTAAAGATCAGCCTTTTAGGAGACATTGTGAATATGTGAAGCAAATTTGTATATGAAATATTTAACTCGGAAAAATTAGTAAGCTTGAACTGAAATAGAAAACAGTGGTTTTCAATTGTTAGAACATATTGGCAATGCATTTTAAGCAAAGTGAGTTTTAATTTACACTATCATTGATAATACAAAGGAAAAAAATGGTGGGAAGTATATACATTAAAGAAAGCTGTAGCTATAGATTATAGACCCTTGAAAACAACTATAGCAATGTACCCTTTGTGAAACATGTATAGAAGGTGCTTTAGTTCGTAAGTTATTTCGAATCCGAACCCTTCTCCTATAACACAATGCCAAGAAGGACCGAACTTCTTGTCCATAAGCTCTTTTATATGCTTTGCTGCCTGTTCATAGTTGTTTTCATATTTCTCAAGCGCGTTAACTACAATTTCCTTGCATTCTGTTCGCATTTCCTCGGACATATCACTCATCTTTTCTAATGGATAATTAAAGGCTTGTGTATAACGCCTGATATACTCTAAATTGCATGGTCCTACAGATTCTTTTGGTTTAGAATCCATTATGTTGAATATGTAATTTGATAAAAACAAGGCGTCTTGAAAAATAGATATGGAAAAAAATGATGAAGGAAAAGTTCTAATTTGAGAATCGATAATCATGAATTACTCAGAGAAAGTGGTTAATTCTTGGGTGAACATCTATGTTCAATTAACTTTAATATAAATCAGAACACACAGAAAGTTTTACACAGATTCTAAAGCTGCTTTTTTCGAAAATTCTTCGGAGGTGACTTTTGCTCCCACATCTTGCTTCAATTTATGATGTGGAACCTCTATAGAATCAAGGATATTAGGTTCCCTATTTTCTGTCATCTGTACCTCCAGTTCCTTTATCAAATCTTCGTCATTTATAACACTGGAAATTGGTTGGTTAATTACATTATTGATTTGTTGCGCCTCCTCAATAGATTCCCTAGTTTCATTCATAAGCATTTCCAAATCATCGATATTGAGAATTTTATTTAGCTGCTCCAATTCATGTTTACCATCTCTTAGTGCAGCCACTACCTCACTTTCAATCTGCATAAAATCAATGGTTTCAATAAGATTCTGAATATTATCAAGCATTTTACCCACGGTGTTTATCTGATCATTTTGCGCACGTTCACGTTTTAGGCAGTATAATGCTTTTCGTCTATTTCCTTCTTTGAGAAACTCTATTGCTTTATTATGCTCTATATTTCCAACAATCTCAAATCTACGTATGGCTGCAACTAAATTATCTCTCTGCATTTTTAATTGAAGTTTAGTTCGGTCAGGAGAAGTAATTTCTGAGTGACGTTGCGCGCTTGTTTTCTTTGTGCGAACAGCTTTAGCATGTCCCTTCGAGTTCGATCCACCCATTAAGAAGAAAATGGCCTGATGTAATGTTATAAAAAGAATATTATTGTGCAAAAAAAAAACTTTATTTTTGTTATTAGTCACGCAAATACTTTAAATGATAAACTTTTCTTTGGGTTCAATTCTACTATTTTTCAAAGAATTATTGAGCCACAAGGATATTTATATTTAAAAATGATTATCTACTCTTTCATGGCTCAAATAACATTTGAGTACTCGCCATAATTTCTGACTTTCATTTTTTTTTTTGATACTATTTGTGAAATGGGGATTTATATAGGCATTTCAGCGGTAGCCATATGCATGACAAAGGTGCGAGTCTGAATAATTTTACTTCTTTAGGCATAAGCTATTCTTCCTTAATTTCGTGTATGATAGTTTTGTAAACTTCATTTTATGAATGTTCGTTGCTGTACTAAAAAAAACTTTCAATATTAACACTAGGATAAACTACGAAACAAAGAAAGAAAACGTGGTAGCTGAAAACCCCACCCTGAAAGCAATCCGGTATACTACAAATATTAGAATTACAGCCCATTTGAAACTTCGATAAATGATATACCCAGCGTAGAAAAAATTGGAGCCGCAAACCTTCAATATCAAGCTTTTGGAAATTTTTTAGAGTGGGACGCCCCCCCCCCTCCTCCACAAGGAACATCTCCCCCCGCGGCAGCCATCCCCAAAATGCCAAAGACAAATTGCATAAAATACATTTGATTTCCCCATATCGTAGGCAAATTCCTCTTATTACATATTTTATAAAAATAGAACCCCCGGTTCAAATAAATGCCGGTGGTGTTCCAAAAACATTCCCCATAAATTAAAGCATATTCTTATGATGAAAACAATTTTCTTATTATGAAAATTATTTTTATTTTATAGTGGGTATTTTCAAAAACTGAGATTCAGAATGTTTAAAAATCCAGGGTTGCTTAAAGTCTTCGGAATTTTTCTTCGGGGTGGGGAGGTGTTTTTTTAGGAGATAATTTTGGAATAGGCGAGATTTATTGATAAGAAAGCATCGAGCAAATTTCGCCATCCACTCGCTAAAAAACTGTCCAAACCTACAAAAAAACGGAAAATTGTGAAAACTTTCTGTGTAAGTCAATTCCTTTATAGACAATTTTTAGGGGCTTTGGGTATTTTATAATCCCGATATTCGAACCACCTGGGCTTCTAATGTTCACACCAAATGATCTTTTCGTGATTATAAAAAAATTAGAATCCACTATTCATGAAAATAAACCCCTCCTAAAATATTAAGTTGATTTTAAAAATGTTCAACCATAAGTGTTATGCGCGACGGTGTGCTTAACAATTCTATAGGCATTTTTAACCGAGAACATAACCAAACCGATTAAATGATAGGGTTTCTCAGCGAAATAAATATTCCAATCCCCATTGACTTAGAATATTGCAATTTGGCGAATTCTCTGTTCTTAAAAATAAAGGTTGCAAAACAGACAACCGTCGCTTTATTTGAAAAAACACTTCAACCGTATAACTTGAATTTCCAGAATCCAAAGAGATTCAAAAAATCCCAAAGTTCAAAAAACATTTGTATCAATCGCGCTTTGAAATTCCATTGCCTTCGGGATTGGGTCTTAAAAAACAAATACAATTGGTTAAGGCAAATTTTTGAGATTTTATGCATTTTAGTAACCCATGTTGGCGTTTTCGAAAATCACACGCGAGTCTATTATTTATCTTGCTTAAAACATTCATTGCCCCAAGCTTCGCGCTTCATCTTGTCAACGGTTTTAGGTTCGATGAGTATTATTTCAATGTTTTAATTAATCTTTGAATTTCGTTAGTGACTGTTTAAGTTATGTGGGAATAATTCCCCCACCAAATAGGAGTTTATCGGCTTTCCTTTTCCATATTATACAACAACAATACCCAACCCAAAAAAAAATAACTAAAAAGATTCTACAAATAATACGAGTCCGAAATCCTTTCCGTATTCCAAAAAAACTAGGATAATCTATGGGTTACCCAAACCCCCCTAGTTTAATACCCCATGCCAAACTGAAGTTACCATTAAAGAACCCCCCCACCCCTGACCCATCATATAAAACGATGCGGTTGGATGAACGCCGAATTCCATGCAACATCTATTTCCCAAATTTACGGAAACTACATCAGAAAGTGGCGTCGATCCAGTTCCAGATTTATACATCCATAATTTATAAGCGAAAATATAAACACAAGAAAAGAAACACCACCAAACGCTTTATAGACATCAATTCTATCAGCGTTC